TATATCCATGGTTAATTTGCTTTATACCAAGAAACATTAAAAACTGATTGCAACTGAGGGTTGCCATGATCAGATGCTCCATTCCACTGCTTTATCATCAACTTTCCCAACCTAAAAAAGGTCAGAACGTTGAACTGTTTTTACTTCTCCCAATTTTCTGACAGCATTTTCTTAACCAATTGATGGGGTCACCAATCTCGTCAAGTAGCTCCAGTTCCAAGAGCTGTTTGAGATCATTCAGCCTGGGCTGATTCGATTCAAGGGGAGCCAACTGGAAATCGATTTTCCCCAGGGACTGGATGGTTCTGAATGATTTGAAAGGTATGATGGTATGATCCAGTGGGTTTCATGATTGAATCCAGCCTTCTGTCGTGGCAGCTTTTCGAGACGAGAAAAGAATGGGAACGTGGTTTTCTTATTTCAAACATGGGAAGCTGTTGAAATTTGGCCAGGGCTCATGCAAACTTTGTCATTTGTAGCATTTCACCAGATTTCCGGCTGGTATATCATTTTGAGCAATTCCCAACTAACTTGTTTGAGCTCCCAAACCCCGAAAAATGGTTGTGTCTTTGAAATCTGGCACCCGATATCCGTGTGTCAGCTATCATTTTCTACAATTTGGGGTAGGGTACACCTGTTTTTTTTCCGGATATTAAACGCACCCAAATTCACCCAATTCATCCCCTATCCAGCAACCCATTGGGTAAACACCGTTGAGATGAGAAGCGACTCGCTGAAATCGTGGCGCCTCGGGTGCCGTGTCCTGGCATCCTTCCAATGGATAGGAAAAATGATGATAAACCAATGGAAATTGCTATGTTAGGAAAGAAAATGATGATCAACATTGATCAACCAGTGGATGGAATGGGGTACCCTAGTTTCAGACCAACCCATATCTACCAGAATCTACCATCTGGCAACTTAACATAACTATGGGAAATAATCATGTTCCAGAGGTAAATCATCTGTAAATGGGACATTTTCCATGGCAATTTTCGGGGATGTCATGGATTACTGAGAGCAGGGCTGGAGATTCGCGCTCGCTCTTCTGAAAAGCGCCTGCAGCCGGATGTTGAAACACCAGGTAGCCAAACAATTCCAGAGGCGGTGCGCTGATTGACATGAATACGTCTATCGATCTATCGAATATTTGGTCCTTTTTTTAATCACTAGAGGGGTTTGTGACAGGACCTCCTTACAATTTGCAGGAACATTTTGCATTTGTATACATGTTAGTCCTGCATTTGTGGATAAGTAAATCTACGGTAACCAGCCAAACCACGGGATTCACTAACTTGCCTGATGGCAGGGATGACCTCAACCAAGATGCAGGTTTAACCAATCTAAAATGATATGTTTGATACAATCAATATAGGCAATAGCTAGGAAAATCATGGAACATCAATCTTCATAATATTTCATAATCTATTTTGTAAGGGTTCCGCGTTGCTTTCTTGGGGTGCGAGCTACATTTTGTCCCTCAATGTCCCGGCCGTTCTGGCAACCATGCGCGATATGCTATCGAAATCTATCAAGGGGCTCTGACTTAGAGACAGCCAAAGAACTGGATTTGCCTCAAGTGGTTGATACCCCAAAAAATCAATGGGGTAAAAAAACAACCATAGAATAGAATCGTGTCTCCAGGGTGGAGACACTCCAATATGTCCCAGAATTGATGGACATTTATCACCCCGAACCGAACCCCCGAGATTTGGAGGTACAAAACATAGCTAAGATTTTCCCTTCAACCAATGCATGGACTATCATGTTTGATGATCAAATCCCCATTACATTCCATTACTGTTGATGGTTATTAAAATCCTATAGAATCCCGTTAATATCGGACACCCTTAAAATCCCCAGAAAGTCCCATTTACATTAAATAGTTCCCATTTAAATACCACTAACAGATCCCATTAAAATCCCACTAACAACCCATAAAGTTCAATGTCAAAATCATTGCCATGTGATGATCACCCCAGCCCTGGGTGGCGCCTTCAAATTGTGGGGCTCTTCGCTCAACACCTCTCAGCCAGTGGGGATAGAGAGATAGATAAGTATAGAAGGATCGATAATTAGATGAGTATAAATAGCTGAATAAGTAAACCAACAAATAAACAAATTAGCTTGATGAAGCACATAGATTCAAACAAACACACACACATTGACACTCCATTGGAGGCTTTTAACCAAATTTCCATTTGAGTTTTGGACCAGCGTATCTATATATAATTCAAATATATTTTCTGATATTCTTTGCATTTTTGTGATCAATATAATTCAATATATATACATGCCCCCTCTATATCTTCTATGCCATGCCATATGACTCACTTACTTACACTTTCAATCCAAGTTCACGTGGTTGGTGGTTTCAGCCCCCCTGTGACACATATTAGTCACCCCATATCTATGCTTGAACACGTTCTTGAAGGCACTCACCAACCCATCGCTGCTTATATCATAGTTTCTTTACATCACCATTTGAGATGATCAAATCCCATAACATGCCCATCTTTGTTGTTAAACGTTGCACAAATATCAATCATTTCACGATTTCCAGGGACCCTCGCAACGCGAACTTGGACCGGCCCACGGCCGTGGAAGTCCCACAAACAAAGGCTGCCGGGCGTTGTCGCAGGCCACTTTGGCGCCATAGAAGTCGCCCAGCTTCAAGAGACCTTGGCAGGGCGTACTTGGAGGATCATCCCATGAATCGTAAGTGGTTATTTTTTGCCTAGGTCGAAAATTCCCGTTTTTAGTGGGTTTTTCCGTTTATCCGTTTTTTTTCTCCATTAAAAAAATGCTAAACTAGCTATGGTTACTAACCACTTACGGTCCGTGGGATGATTATCCAAGGGGCCTAGGAGCCCCACATCCCAACTTATGGTGGACCTTACCATTGTTATAGCAATTAATAACCCCAACTGCACCAAGTAGTAACCTGGGTAACCTGGGTATAGCTCTTGAGAACTTCAGGGACAATACTGCGACTGCGACGAAGCCACCGACAGGTGTGTAGTCATAAACATGGGGACATAATCAATCTTTCCAGGCAGTAGATATCAGTAGATGGTTCCTTCGCTGGGTATACTTCAATGCCAGAGCCTCAAGAACTGGAATCTCGTTAAGCTGATCAATGGACGGCGGGCTGGCGCATCCCAGCCCAAAGTGCATTCATGCGGCTCCGGGTGTTTCATCCACCGGATTGCTTGGCTTGATATGGTGAAAAAAAACAACCCGCAAAAAAATAGAAACGCGCGATTTACTAGAAAAACGTAGTGAATTCGACATGTGTCCATCTTTTTGGGGTTACTAACATGTCCATGTTCAGATTTCTGCCCAAAATGGTGGGTGCTCTCCCCATCCAAGGACCCGTGCATTGTGACAAGTTCAGCTCGCAAGTCCTTGGTTCGGCTGTGGACACCATGAATTTTCCATCAAATATGGGTAGTTATTGCAGTAAATAAATCCAATAAATTCTCCCAGTTTTTACCCACTAACCCATCGGTCGCAGAGTTCTCAAACCCACTAAGCTTCCTTGATAAATTTGGAAGATTTGCCCCCCCCCCCTTGGGGTCCTACAATGAGGGGTGCGCCAATGTTGGGGTCAATCCAACTTCGCTCCCGCAAAAGGAAAGTCCCTCAACTATGCCATTATACAAGGAGCAATCGGTAAGGTCAGAGTGCCCTTCCAGATCTTCCAGGCTTTCGTGGGTTTATTGTTCTGCACTGCTTGGAGTCCGAGACTCTTTTTCAAGTCTTTGACCTGAGCTTTCATCGCCTGCAAGCGGTTTTCATGTTGGTGGAAGGGGGTCCCGGCATTTCACGGGCCCCATGATTTAAGATTTCACGGTTCTACCGGAAAATGATCCATCCATGACAGCAGCGGCCATTTCTACTATTCGCCGCTGACACGTTCGGCCAAAGGGTGCTGACATCTTCAGCACCATTTGGCTGAAAGCAATTGTCGCATCCGTCATGGAAACCCCTGCGGTGCCAAGGTCAGTCCTTTGCTCTGCGCATTAAGAACTTACTATGTAAACATCTGTTCAAGAACTCATTGTTGGTCAATAGGCTTTCCCATAGTGTGATTGTGATAATCCGTTTTTTTTAAATAGTATAACGCTCTATAACTGACAATCAACCAACGGGGTTTAGCAGCCACTGCTCACACAAGACCTGCAGGTTTTCGGGGTTTGCCCACGGCTGATCTACGTTTCATCATCGGTGTCACCGGCGTCGGATACAGCCAGGGTCAGGGCTGGAGTGTTGTGCAGCCTCTAGTGATGGTATAAGGGTGTGTCCTCGCCCCCAAAAAATTATGGCCATCCATGGCCATCGGGAACATCATGATCAACCAGTGGAATATGATGGAATGGAGTACCCTATTCTCTGACAAATCCATATGATCCTGTATTTTCGAGGTCTAGCGAGAAACAGCTGCAAGAAATAGATTCCACTTATATCACTGGATTCCTGCTCCAAGCGGGAGCACTTATTTTTATATTTTTTCAATATTCTATATTTATCCGTGAGATTGACAAATAAAAACAACAATCCATCGCTGGGATACGCTGGTCATCTGATTCTTCTATCAGATTTCATGCCAACCTTGGATTCATACCCAAGTCAGTTGGGATGATTATTCCATATTATTCCCAATATATGGAAAATAATCCAAATGTTCCAAATCACCAACCAGTGATGATTGTTTCATGGTTGGCCATCATTTTTTCGATTGAAAAATCGGGCCATCTTTTTTTCGGTATTCGCAGCGTTTGGGTGGTGCAATCCACCAGCCATTGGACGGTTGAATCCCATGTTCTGGTTACATCCCAATCTTTGATCATCTTTTAACATCTTTTAACGTCTTTTACATGGCTTTTGACTCATTCTAACCGTTTGTTACAAGCTTCTTGATCATTCGCCAATTAGATAAAACAATTTTCGGATCGTTGCGACATTTTTAAAGAGGTTTTTCATGGCATCTCCGACCCTCAGAGACCGATAGAGCCCAGTGGAATGGCTCCGGCCGCCCCGGCCCAGCTTGGGGGACGAACTAGGTGCGTCACACGCCTGGAGGACGCAGTTCAGAAAATGGGATGGTTGAGAATGGCCAATTAATGGTTATAACACCAATGGGACAATATGACAATGATGACAAATGGTTTTAATGACAATATTAATGGTTATAATAATGGGATGGTTGACAAATGACCAATGGGACAATTCTCATGGGACAATGAGTAGCAACACTGAACATTGGGAGAATTGTGGCATTGGTGGCTATATCATGGGACAATTATCTGGGATAATTGTCCAATAATAAGACTAATAATAATACAATTGGGAAACTCAAATACTGTGGTATAATGGGAAAACTTAAGATACCAATAGAGACTACTGGTTATGTAATGGCTATATAGTTGGATGGCCCATTTATAGATGATTTACAGATGATTTATGATAATTGAACCATGTAAAATGTGTTCATAACATAAATCATCCATAAATCATCTATAAATCAGGATTATACCCGCTGCTAGTTATGGGACGTGAATTTGGGATATACGCCCTTTTCGTTTTTCACATCATGGGATTCACAGAGAGGGACGGAGCCGGGGAAAATGTGGGTTGAATCCCTCACATCTAGTGCCTCTAGTTGGCAGGGTCTATGTTATATAATTTGGATGGTAAATTTGGATGGTCAATTCCAAAAAAAAACAAAACATCATTCAACCACAATTAAAAAAATCATCATGAAACCAGCATTTTTGCGGGTCATGGGGTTAGTAAACCACCATGAAAGCACCATGAAACGCTGCTTATGGGGACCCCACCTGGGCATCTCCATCTGCAAGGCCACGTGCAGCAGCTGAGTGCCGATGTTGGCCATCAACACCGTGCTGTACCTGGGTGCTGTGGAGAGAACTGCCCAAGTCATGGTGGATCTCGGAGTTTTAGGATTTTTTATTGGATGTTAAAAGGATGGACCTAAGGATTTCTATTGTGTTTAAATGCTTTTTGTACTTTCAATAGATGTTGAAAGGGTGGTTGAAACTCTTGACACATACGCAATGGGTTAATTCCAGGTAGAGCTTCGCGTGAGATATCGACTTAGTCACTGGGGATATCTCAATGATGCATGGGTGAAACTATGTTAAATGGTGATTGGTCATGATCGAATTCCATGTTGAGCTTTCCTTCAACTTGATTAAGTTATCGAAACTCCATATTTAGTTTCTTAAAATGATAGTTGGGGCAACTATTGAAGCACAAACCAAAACTGGAATTTACGCAAAATGAATCAAGAAATGTGAGTCTGCATTAATTCTCCAAAATAGTGGTCTTGTCATTTGGATACATATTTGTCTTACCCTCTAAAGTAACAGTTTGCTATGGAACATGCCCATACATTTTTTTTGCTTTACCCATAAAAAAATGGGGGCTTTCCATAGATTTTTGTATGTTCATCAGAGGGTATGTTCCATTAAATCCCAACTTTTTCCCTAAGATGGCTGGTATATCCCCAATATAATCCATGATATTCCCATGAAATCATATGTTTGACTGAGAAATAGCAGCTGTTAACATATTAATCCATATGGAATCATATTTTTTTGGGACCCCATCTTAAGAAAACCAACATCTTCACCATGGCCAGCGCGGGCAAGTTGCTGCTCATGGAAGGGCAAGTTCCGCAAGACGCGCATGGAAGCCACCTGGCATTGGAAATTGGCAAATAAGGCCTGTACAATGGCATGTGCAGTACACACACGCACATATATATATATGTGCGTGTGTGTGTGTGCGTATCTATAATGTGTATACATATAGGCATATGTATAGTTATATGTATACGATATGTATATATATATATGTATATATATATATCATTATGTAAATCTATACGATTCTAAATGTATGTATATCTATATTATTGATGTAATATTGATGTAGTAACCCCCAACAAACAAAAAAAACCGTTGGCACGGAGTCCACTCTGCGTTTTGACCTGCCCACCTGGTGGGCCCTTTGGTGCTGAGTTTCGAGTCCCAGTCAGTATAGATCTAGACATGTGAGTAATGTTTACGATATTTAGTCTTTCCGGTCATTTTTGTTTGTTCTCAATATATCTTTATCTATATCTGTCTATCTATCTATCTCTTTATCTATCTCTTTATCCATCTAATCCAATCCAATCCAATCTAATCTAATCTAATCTATCCTATCTATCCTATCTATCTAACCTATCTAATCTATCTAATCTATCTAATCTATCTAATCTACCTAACCTACCTAACTTATCTAACCTATCTAACCTATCTAACCTATCTAACCTATCTAACCTATCTAACCTATCTAACCTATCTAATCTATCTAATCTACCTAATCTATCTAATCTATCTATCTATCTAATCTATCTAATCTATCTAATCCATCTATCCATCTATCCATCTACCTATCTACCTACCTACCTACCTATCTATTCTATTCTATTCTATTCAATTCAATTCTATTCTATCCTATCTATCTATCCTATCTATCCTATCTATCCATCCTATCTATCTTATCTATCCTATCTATCCTATCTATCCTATCTATCCTATCTATCCTATCTATCCTATCTATCCTATCCATTCTATCTACCCTATCTATCCTATCTATCCTATCTATCCATCTATCTATCGATCTATTGATCTATTGATCTATCGATCTATCCATCTATCCATCTATCCATCTATCCATCTATCCTATCTATCCTATCTATCCTATCTATTCTATCTATCCTATCTATTCTATCTATCCTATCCTATCCTATGCTATCCTATCCTATCCTATTCTATCCTTTCCTTCTATCTATCTATCTATCTATCTGATCATGAGAGCAGCAAGTCTTTCTCAGTTCCTCCATTGGCACGGCCCCAGTTCCGCACCTGCCATGTGATCGCTTCGCGTCGAAGGCTGGGGCTCTTTGCTCTGCTGCCATTGTTGGTCTCGGCGAGGTCTATGGTAACCCTGGTGAGGCATACCCAACATGTGTTTATAGACACATATTATGCTGTATTCACCCCGCTTCGCGTGGGGTGGCCGCCCACACCGCAGGTTTATTTCGGTCCGTGAGAGGGGCTAAGGGTGGTTTTCCCCCGTGGGGGCTCTTCAAGCTAAGAAGTTTCAATAAGAAATCCTTCCAAAACATTGTTTTTGACAGTGTTTTTCCAATGTTTCCAGTCAAACAGACGGTAATTTACACGTTTTTTGCCATAAAGGCAGTAAATCCTTCCAAAACATTGCTTTTGACAGTGTTTTTGTAATGTTTCCAGTCAAGCATACGGTAATTTACACGTTTTTTGCTATAACGTCAGTCCAAAACACTTGTTTTTGCAGTGTTTTCAATGCTCTGGCATCCAAAAACCCTGCAAAATCTTGCTATGTACAATGTTTTTTTCATTTTTGGCCGTTTTTCCATTGCCGGAAAGCTACCAAAATGACCCAAAATTCCATTTCAATACCCTCTTGCGCTCAGACACCCAAAAATCCTCGAAAAATGTCGAAAACACCACCGTATTCTGGTCTCGGTGCGAAACCGTTTTTGGGGTCTGGTCTCGGTGCGAAACCGTTTTTGCCCCCCCCCCAGCTAAAGCTGATATAGCGACTGCTATATTAACAAATGTCATTGAGCATTTAGTGTTGCTGTTGCCCCCCAATAAGCACGCCTTCACCGCCAAAGCGGTGTGGGCGGATTTATATGATTTATATGATTTTATATGTACATAGTTCCATACACAATATATGATTATATATATATAATTCCATACACATTTATAGACAAATAAACATAGAATCAGGTTACCCTGGAACAGCCTTTGAAACAACAATATCCATCCAACATTTCAATCATCTCAGAAAACTCAAATTGGAATATCACATATACTTCAGAATGATTTATTTGCAGGACAATACCCCAACTCCAGCAGTGCTTTTGATCCTTTTCCATCAAGTTTCCCCAATTTAATCGCCAGAAATAGACCAATTTTCATCAATTTCCCAATGAAAAAATCTTCCAAAGTTCCATTGGCTGCGGCAGTCCCAAATTCAGCAGAGCTACCCGCGTCGACCGTCCCTTTGGAGCAGCTCGGCGGCCATTGCTCAGCCATTCCTAGGCACCCCACATTTTCCATGAAACATGGGAGGTTCCGGGTCCCTTAAACCAATCCAAGTTGACCATGTTAGAAAACATAGATTCACTGAAATACGGAAATGACATGAAATGACGTGTTGTTGCAAACGATTGAAACTGATATGGAAACTTTATTTATTTGATTATCTATTGATTTTTTTAAAAGTTATATATGCACTCAACAGTTTAAGCATATAGATTCTCAGAGTAATTAAGTTGAATGTTCATGATATGGAACATGTGGAGACTCAGGAAATGAAATGGGATATACTGGAAAAAATAATGAAATTTCCTGATGTGTCTGTAGGGATTAAGACCTGGTTGTACAGTGGTATGTAGACAAAATCCTTTCACGGGAGACCCATGGATTTCGAGATTTTCATTGGGTTCTCGGAGTGTCAAAACCTGGATGCAGAGTAACTAGAGGTCAGTGGCGCAATCCTAGGGTGACCAGCTTCCAACGAAAATCGGCGTTCAACTTCATTAAATGGCTTTGTCATAGGGAAAATGGGGTATATCATATCATTTACCATATATAAATAATATAATATAATATATATATATGTATATATATATATATATTCAACTATAATATTATATTCTGTTGGAATTGGGTTTTTCCCCTAAATTATCGGAGAAACACACATGAAGAAATAGATATTGATACAAAGTCTGCGGCGAAGCGCCGGTGAAACTCCGCTGAGATCATTCACTGACCCTTTTTTGGCCGAAGGAAGCGGTGGTTTCTTGCCGTAGCTGTAGCTTGAACATTCGAGCAGCGGCTTGGAAACCTCCATAGTAGGGATCCTAACCATCTTAATCAAGACTTTTTTCTTGAAAGAATGGTAGCCTTGTTCCAGGTTCATTCCTTTTGTGTTACATCAAATCAAGTCCCAATTCTTGCATTTTTTTCGCACGCCATCTTCAACATTTTTCCTTGGTTTCTACCCCCTCAGCCCGGAAGATTTAAGTGATTTTCACAGGTTTCCACCAGCCACTGCTCGAACTCAGACTAACTCAGAGACATCGCGAATCACACAACTCTTCATCCGCCTCATGCTGTTTCTTGCCATCCAGCACCAGTAGGAACAGGCCCATCAAGATCCCGACGATCCCCAAGGCGTTCCACCCAGGCATCCTTAAGCCATGAACGCCACAAAGGATCAGAATCACCGTAACCATGGTGCTGGTGAAGGGTTGGATAGCGGCATAGGCCAAGATGTAGCCCGCACGCGCGTGACGGTTGGCCCAGGTGATGAGAAAATGTCCTGGCCAACTCGTAAGTGGTTCGAAACTGGGGCTAGCTCAGCCATTTATAAATGGGAGAATGGACAAGCCACGAAATGGTGACTTCAAAACCAGGGTTATTACTCCCCCTCCTTTTACCGTAGCGCAAAAAAAATATAAATTATTTTTTTTCTTCCACGTTAACTAAAGTGACAATTCGGAGGTTTACTTCCATGTTAGTTGCAATGGGGGGGGTAAACTGCAAATTTGTGTTCTTTGGATCTGAGCCCTTTTCTTTTTTTTTGGCTAGTTCTTTTTGCCACGAGTTCCCCGGGAATCCTGGGCATTTGTTGATTAACGTAGAAATTTTGATTTTTTCAAGATAAAGCTGGGAATGCCTCCATTTTTTAACAACCAACGATTGGAACGGATAACTTACATAGAAATTTGCTACTTGAAGTAGGATGTGGGAAGTGCCATGTTAGCGAGCACCAATTTGGCACCATTGATTTCGAAAGGTTGCATCCTCAATCGCTCGGACATGACAGGGGTGATAAGATAGATGGAAGAAAAAAATGATGTGGCGGTCAGTCTGGGGGTTTTAGGGATCGCCCTAGAAGGATGTATTCAACATGAGGGGAGAACATGTTAACATAGAAGGTGCCAACCTGATGCCTGGACCCTCAAGTTACTTCCACGTAAGGGTTTTTAGTCTCAGTTTTCACACTTCCATGATGAATATGTTACTGACATATCTGATGAGCTACTTCCATGTAAGAGATTCACGGTCAGTTTTTCTGCATTTGCTGGCCCGGTAGCCCAGTTTCACTTTTTCCCCAGGAATTGGACGTAAACGACTTCCATGTAAACCGACAGGTTTTTCCATCCTGACTTCCACGGTAAAAGGACCCGGTGTAACCACTTATATACTAAGTGGGATGGGATATCAGGTTGACAGATTGATGCAGGTTTCCCTTCTCCATTTGAGAATATTGCGTATGTTGGTAACAAGAAACATGTAATTGTATTGCGTTTGGAATGATTTTTGTATCGCATGATTCTGCCAGTTACTGTGGGTTCAGAGCCCAAGTGCGATCAAAATCTCCATCTTAGCGGTTAACACACCGATCCCAGGTACCAAAGAAGCAGTGTGCATCAATGTGCCATCCAAAAAAAGCTGAAAATCATCCCTATCCTCAGGCCTATCCTCCCCAACTTAGGTTAAGTTGGCCCCAATCTTGGTGACCACGTGGGGATGCACCCCACCTGTGATGGAGGTACATCCAATCCAATAGGCCAAGGGAAGAATGGCGGTGTCAGGTACCTCCCAGGGTGCACAGGAGTTCCGATAGCTGTGGCACCGGAACATGGCTTCATTGGGATCTTCGGGGCAAACAAAGTTCACGAATCCTAGGCCCAGGCAGTTTCTGGGGACGAACTTGGCCATTTTTTTTCTGGTTTTCGATTCTGTAAAAATAGGGAAAATATGGGAAAATGAGAACTCACCAATGGATTTAGGAAATTTAACGGTACCATCTTCTTGGACAACTCCATTTTTGATGAAACGATGGAACTTCAGTAGAAGAAAGTCACATGGAACCTTGAAACATTAGAGTTTCCGTAGCAGGATAAGGCGCCCCAGTTGAACCATTTGGGTATCTCTCAAAAGTAGGGTAACTAAAAAACAACAACATGTTGCCATCAGTTTCATTCATTTTTTTAAACATTCTATGACCAACCCACTTCTAACTGAGACTCCGCAATGAGAATTGACAGATGTCGCAACCACAGCCATGATGACACACGCCACCATCGCGGCCCAAGCGGTGATCGTCAACGGTGGGTAACGCTGCAAAGCGATCTTGGAGAAAATCACATAGAGCGCAGTGGCTAAACCTTGGCAGATTAACATACACCTTGGGGGGAATATCATGGTACTGGAAATAGAATGGGAACATAATGGGATATATAGTAATCCCTTCCTCCTATTACTAAACCCCGCCCAAATACTAAAAACTAATGTCCATCTCCAATTTTGGAACATTTCAGATTGGCCAATTTGACTTTTAATTGATCCCCTTTAGAACACAATTTAAAAATAAAGCTACCATTTGTGGGTTTTCCCCCCTAATACTAAAAACTAGTTCACCCGGGGTGTTTATTATTAGGGTCCGTCCGATTTTTGTTTTTTATATTAAAGTTTTTAATTTAGTATTGGGGGGAAGCTTTGAAATCCAATTTTTGGCAATATTTTAATTGCGTTATATTAAAAAAAAAAATGATTTTGAGATCGGAAAAAATAGTTTTTATTATTAAGGGTTTAATTCTGTTAATAGGGTTCCCTAATGATAAATACCACCCTAATACTAAAAACTACCTGCCATGTTTATTATTAGGGGGGGGACGTTTAGTATTAGGAGGAAGGGATTATATATATATGTATATATATAACATCTAAGGTTTTGGGGATTCACTGGCATTTAATGGCGTGTAGTGGGATATAATGTATATATATATATACATAGTGGGATGTATAATCTACTTGGGGGTGCAGGACTAGGCTTACGAATGGATATAACTTTGGGATTGTAACCATCGGGACAACCCTACAACTGCGGGATGATCCCCCCAATCCCAGGCCGCGGGACAGTTGACGGCCAACAGCAAATTTCCGATGGCTTCTGAACTTTGAAGGCTTTGACCATAACCTAAATAGGCTCAAGCGGTTATCACGGATGAAAATGGTGGCGAAATCCGACCGGAAATCTTCGAACGGGTCAATCTCAGAAATTGTCCAGTTCTGATACATTAAGCATTGGGAAACAGAATGTCATTAACAAATCGATGTAGCCCCATAGGGCCCGCAGCAAAAACTGGGAAATACGCCCTTTTTTGGGTTGTTGCAGTGTTGGTTTCATATCTTGTTTTGTCGCAACCCCAAAACAGATAGAGAATCTAGCAGAATCCAATTGAAATTTAATGGTAGTGTACTTTTCTATCTTTTGCGGGTTACCATATGGTTATTCCAAAAATGGCAGATTGGTATTGGGGTACGTCTCTGGTTTTGTTCTTGTTTCATTGTGTCTGAAAAGTTGTTGATTCTTATTTCCGGTGATTTGGGTAACAATCCTAACAATCCATAATCACTAAATTTTCGAAATTCCAAGAATCCAGAAACCATCAATCCAACCCCTTTTGACCAACAATCCATAGGGCATCTTCCATTTACTCCCTGGCCCTGAGCCGCTTTGGAACCACCGAGTCACAAACGAGGAAGCCACCCCCAACCACCGACAGAAGAATGCCCGAGAACTTGCCTACATGGCTGAGGCGAAAATGACAGCGAGTCCAGAAATATATAGAAATATCATCTCTCTCTCTCTCTATATATACATACAAATAAATAATAGCCCACGTATCATACATAGATATACGCATAGATAATCAAAATGAGAGAGAGATATATATATACATACTTGTGTATCTTATAGATATATGACTCTCTCTCTCTCTCTGTGTACAGTTTTGCTTGCTTATATCAAGTGTTAGACGATTCGACAGGTGGTTACATCACTGGCCTCAGCGGAACGGGGCCTGCCACCCCCTCCGCCGCCTATGTGCACTGTCAATGTCCCTACATCATCTTGATTCATTGGAGATTTCTGGAGATGATTGGAATCCACGTATAAGAATGGTGATGACTTAGGAATGGTCTATTGTTGGGCTGACCACATTATCTAGATTTAGACGCCCTGAGGCCACAATGGCTGCTGCTTGAGCTTAGCCTCAGTTCAAGGAACCGTTTGCGGGGCAAAGTTCTAAAATCTGCTCCAAACTTCTCCTGGCGAAACAAATAGAAGAGATTCAAATTTAGCAACTAAATGATCAGAATTGGATCACGAAATTCAGCATCTTTATGAACCAAACTTCATTTACTACACTATATATATAGATATTGTTATTGATTTACAGCTCCTGCTATTTAGACATGTTTATCATTTTTTACCCTCTGGTAAACTAACATAGCCTATAGCTATTGAAAATGGCCCAGTCGAAATAGTGGATTTACCATGATTTACCCATTAAAAATGGTGATTTTCCATAGTTACGTTAGTTTGCCAGAGGGTAAACCACCATTTTCCTATGGTTTTCCGATGGTTTTCCCATTAAAACCCTAGGTTTTCCTAGTTAGTTGATGGAACCACCTCCTTGGCCCTTGGCCGTCCCCGGTGCCGTTGGTGATCTTCTCCCAGCCCAAGGCCACGCTGATCATCAATGCCATGATGGGCTGCGAGCACTGCCAGGCGCTGCTGATGATGGGTCCTGTAGGATGAGAACCAACCATAAAGATTGACTGGGATATTATTGATGAGCAGCTTATAAGTGGCTGAATTCTATAGTTTATGGTAGATACAACTATAGTTAATGGGGTTTGTTATACTGGTTGGTGGTGCAATAACAATCTTGAAACATATGAAAGTCAATGGGGACGATTATCCCATATATTATGGAAAAGAAAAATGTTTGAAACCACCAGGCAGATGAGGATTCATTTGGAGTCTGATTGATTGGGAATATAGTGGTATGAAATATGATGAACTGCGATATAATCCAACTATTAGGATATCATTCGTGCCATATACATATTGGGAAGATATCCCATTGGGGAAATATTGGGAATATCAGGGGAATACCAATCCAGAAATTAGGATTACCCTCCGCAAAAATGGCAATTGGAGATCCACTATCCAGTGACTGGAGGGAGCGTCACCAAAGTTTCGCCACATGATAGATGTTTAAGGTCAGCATATTTTTTTGGATTTAACTCCAACAAAACATACACAAACAGATTATATATCACATGAGCTCACATGAATATCACGCGGGAGCTGCTTGGGGCTGCAATGCATAAACAGCTCCAGGGATTCAATGGCGGGAGTTGACCGTTTTCGTCATGCACTCATCGAAAGCGGAAGAGGAGCTTGGGATAGCCGAGGGAAGCGGCAAGGTGTACAAACATGGTGGTTGAACCAACGAAAAAAACGTTTGATAACAGATTTACTTGCAACTGGGCGGAAAGAATATTAGAGAAAGGATCTTCCAAACAAGAATTGGCATGTCAAGCAACAAACAGTGAAGAATTAAACTGAACATCCCAAGAAGATGGAGAAAGGATATGCTATAATTAGTAAAATAGTGGTTAGTAATCGGCTTTTTCTTTTCCCTGGGCGGAATGTACTATAAATTATATATTACTATTTCCTAGCGGGCTCAGGTATCCCATTCTTGAAATAAAAAAGGGGTCGAACATGTTCAGTCCGGAGACCTGAAACTGATTCAACGTAGCTATGGACAATTGCCCATTCACAGATGACTTTTTTCCCAATAAAGCCACCATTTAAAGGAATTTTCCATTACCATGCTTGATTACATTTGATTCCTTTTATTCCCTCCTAAAAAACAATCCTTTACCCAACAAAAACCATGCCCACCGGGCTCCTGCCAGTTTGTCACCAATGATGAACAGGGCTTGGTTCATAACCACACAAAGACCCATAACAAAGATCAGCGGCCAATCGCCCCCTGGGTAGGCAGAACCGAGAAATCTACATGTACAGTTTCAACATATTCCTTCAAAAACAGGGGGATTCAACCAGCCCAAGTTACAGCAATCGGCCCTTCTAAATTGGTCGTTGTTTGGTGGTTAAGATTGGCCCTTATTGAACCCAGCCATTGTTTGGGAGTCGCATGACTGGGGGGGTTCGTTGAATCCCAATGCAAGCATGCACTCAGTGACGGCTAGGCCAGATCCAGTCTGGAGTTGGACGATATGTATGCAGCATGGCAAATGATTTGATACTTGCTGGGTGATCACCCCTTGTTCTCCCGGTATCTTGCCTGTCAGTCCTATGGTTTATCATCATTTTCCTCCATGAAAATTGCAAGTTTGGGTAGCCCCTCATTCTGGACATGTTGAACTCGTCCATCTAATTACTGTACTGACGTGGCATTTACAGCAAATTCTGCTGCCAATAGCATCAAGAAACGGGATTTTTGCAGAAATTTACTGCCAATACCAGCACGTATGATAGATGGATCAGTAAAGCCAAAACCTGTAATCCAAATTGGTTTTTCGAGGGATGGTACTTTTCCATCTGTTCGGGGGACACTCTTTTTATTTATGTATAAATCACATATATATATATATGCACACAAAGATCATCACCCACACACACATTCGCACATATACCGTATATGTCACACACGCATATATATATATATACACACATAATCACACACATATATATATCTCTCTCTCTCTTGCATTCTCTTGCAGTATACGAACCCCATGTACAAGTTGTATGATGTAGGGGCCTATCATGTTTGTCTGGGCCCAAAAATTCCGCCACCCTGCCAGCGAGCCACGGTATGGCACCACTCGTCCATCGAAAGCTACGGCGAGAGCCAGAAGTACAGGCCCTGGCTGTAGTGGGCTGTCAAATCATAGAAAGTAGTCAAGTAGTCATATAGACTACCTGGCCAGATCACAAATGATGGCGATGGCGATGATGCCAATGATTAAAATAAAAAAATCACAAATCATAGCCATGTGGCAACGCAAAAATGGGATCTTCCAATAGAATCATACGTAGCAAGGTGATTTCCCAGGGTGTGTCTTGAGATGGGGTACCATCCTGTAAAATCCTGGTTGAAATTGCCAAACCTTCAGGTATCCAACGCCTGGACAAAGCATGACAAACCACATTATATTGGTGAAATATCACAATTTTCATACTGAACTCCTTTGAACTCATATGAAACACCCATTTTGGCATACTGTTGCTGCCCAAATCCACCATTTTTAGAGACACATCTCGCCATCACAGCATGACCTGCGCAGCACTCACGGATCAGCGCAAAGAGCATGGGGTTGAACTTGTGGACGCCCAGCCTGAGAAATGATGAGACAAACAGAAAAAATCTGATTCAAATGGTCGTGAGTCGGTTGTTTCATTAGAACAGGACTTACATGGATTTACAGTAATTACCCTCTGGCAATTCTTCAGATGCTGGTTTTCCAGTTCGCTTTTTGTATGTAAAAACCATTAAAAACCAGAGGGTAAACAAATTCTAGGGATTTGTTCATCACCATCTGGTTATTTAACAGTTCGCCATTGAAAATCCACCAATTTTTAAGTTCGGTAAACCATCTATATCGATTAGGGCCATCATTTTCCATGGCTAACTGTTAGTCATAACCAGGGGGTAAACGGTTCATCGATGGGGGATAGCAATGAACAAAACTTGCCGAGAACATCAAGGCTCGGGGATTTCACCTCCGCGGCTTGCGCGGAGAAAGAACTTATGCATAGCTGGCAGGCTCAATGCTGTTGGTGAAATATCACTTATATCACCTTAATATCGCATAGAATCACAGGATATTCTGGTATATTCCAATTATATTCTAGTTATATCCCCCGTTCTTTCCCACGGTTGGTGGCTTCAAAAACCCGAGTCTGGTGGGGTTTTTCATCCCCATCCGACATAGCTCCCCATAGGGATACTGCAGATACCCAGAGCTCCGAACCGCTCCCTCCAAACTAACTAGGAAAACCTAGGGTTTTCATGGGAAAACCATCGGAAAACCATAGGACAATGGTGGTTTACCCGGCCTGGTAAACGTTTACATAGCTATAGAAAGATCCACCATGCTATTAATGGGTAAATCCACGATTTCGACTGGGCCATTTTCAATAGCAAACTGTAAACGTTTACCAGAGGGTAGATAATGGCTATAGAAAGGGATAATCTTAGGGGATAATGGGATAATAATCATGGGATACACTCTGGTAACTTAACACTTTGCTATGGAATATCCGCCACTTGTAAAGACAACAACATATTCCCTATAGATTTCCCAAAATATTGGATTTGCCGTTGGGAAAAGAACCACATCATCTTCAGCAAATCCAAGAAATCCATGAGACATTCATGTTCTATTACTTCCCCTACTGAATATAGGAATAGTATAGTTATTGTTCCCATGGTATATTGTCATAGGGAGATATATATATATACTATGATAATGTACTATGAATTATATTCCGAATATTATATTAATAGGGAATAGCAAATCACCATGATATTCCCATTCTTCCCATCCCAACCGCACCAACTCCACTTGACCAGCAACTTGCCCACTACAGAACCGCCGCCGAAGAGCACCTCGTAGGGCCAGGGATGGAGCCACAACGTTCGGACACCAATGAAGCCACCAACAATGGTATCATATAAACGGAGCCATCAAAAAGGGGGTGTATATATATATACATACATACCACACATGGGGACTCAAAAGTAATTACCAAACGAACCATCTATATAATTCTATAGTTGCTTTTCTTGATGCGTCGATACTTTCTATAACAAGAAACCCAAGATAAACTGTGTGTTTCCCAGCTTCGGCCATGTGTAACCGAGGAAAAGCATTGCGGCATCAAAAAACGAAACCCTTTCTATAGAGTCCCACATGTTTCCATATATATATATATATATAAACATATTTCCACACATATCATATCCAATCATCCATATATTTTCCACATATCTTAGAATATTTTCCACATATATCCAGATGTTGTCCGCGTATTTCCAGCATTTTCCAACTCTCTCTCCATCTATTATCTTCACCTCCTGCCTGTGCCAGGATCAACGCGCCATGCACGGCCCATGGTGACGGCCTTCGAAGCTTTTCAAGGGAGGGCTTCTGCAGCATCCGCGCCGCAGGCCGCTCCCGTTGGAACAACGTTGTTCGGTTGGATCACGAAGATATGAAGGGATGGATTTATGGACAGCTCGGGCCAGCAAACACCACGAGATTTATATAGTTTCTAGTTGGTGTGGAAAGTGAATGGTGATTGGAACGACTTCTGTTTTTGGTTGGAAAGCTTGTTGTGTGGGATTTCGCTTCCAACTACCAAGGATTGTCTTGTTCTGGGGAACAGAAAGTCACAATTTGGCACAAGCCAACAGAGCATCAGCTTCTGTTTGCCAACTCCTCATCTCAAATTTCGAGGCATTTATTTTTCAGGGTTCATCTAACATACAAGTAGGTGTAGGTCTTAATTGTTCACTATTTATCCATGCATATATGCTTCTATATGTTTCGTGAAGGAATCATATTGACAATCTAATCTATGGTGATTTATCCTCTGGTAGTGTCACGTAGCTATAGAAAATACCAATGTATCCAATGTCGCTAGATCATCCTTGCATGGGTCATTTTCATCCATTTTCCATCTAGCTACGTTGAATCACCAGAGGGTATCCATCTTTGCGAAAGTTCTCATCCCTAGCCGTACCGCGGCTTCGACCACTTCAGCTGCCATGCGTCAGCACTCTGCCGCTGAGCAGAAGGACTTGGGGTGGCCTGCAAGACGAAGAGCGCCAACACCTGATGAGGATTTGACCCGGAGAAGGGGGGTAATTCACACACACACACATATATATATATATGTGAAATCCACAGGTGCCTATCCACCACGTTGGTCACATCTCACAGGTTGCATGTACAGGGAACATTTGGCTGAAGGATCCAAAAGGATGAGCCCGAGCGATCCCACGGTTGGGAGTCTTGAGTTTCCGCATTGGTAGCGGAGCCCGGACAATCCGGGCCCGCGCATGGTTGCCGCACAGGTCCCACGGTGGTGACCTTGCACAGGTGCCTATGGCGTCTTCATCGACTGGAGTTGATGGCCCCGGCGGGTCGATCCGCTATTTTAGCGGTGAATCAGAAGACGCCCTGGAATACAAGAGGTGGCGTAATTGGGTGGCGAACAAGCTGCTCACACAAAGAAGCCTATGGGCCATACATCTACACCTTGCTGTCAGGCAAAGCTCTGGAGTGTGTGGAGCATTTGGACACAGCAGATTACCAGAAGTCAGGAGGAGACCAGGTACTTCTTCAACTCCTGGACAGTCGTTTTCCCCAGAAGGAGAATACAGATGTCATGGGTGAGATATTGGGGGAGGTGTTCAATTTGAGATCCAAATCAAATGAGCCGTTGAAAGCATGGGTGGCTAGGGCCACCGAACTGTTTGACAGGTGCGAAAGGAAATGTGGTGTCAAGTTTCCGCCTGAGGCTCGTGGATGGATTCTGCTTCATCGAGCAGGCCTTACAGAAGAACAGCAGGCCGTAGTGTTGGCCAGGGCACAGGGCAAACTGGAGCGAGAGCAAATCTCAGTGGCCATGAGGTCCTGCTATCCGGAGATGATTTGTCGTGGTGTCAAGTCTACAGCTGCTCACTTGGTTGAGGAAGATTCGGTTTTTGATCTGGACGAATCTGAGGCTCCCACTTTGGAGGCCGAATTTGCTGATGTGGAGCTGTTGCTTTCAGAACATCACCATCATGGACTGGATGAGGTCAATAGCAGTAGTGACGCGTTTTTGGAGACGGACGTTGCCGAAGTCCTTCAAGTTTCCTGGCGTGAAAAACGTGCCGAGCTGTCCAAGTTACAGAAAGCTCGAAAGTTCACAGCTGCCAAGGAACTCCGCCGAAGCTTTCGGGTGGAAGTAGAAGAATTGAAACGCAAGACCAAGTGCCATAGATGTGGAAAACAGGGACATTGGTCCCGAGAATGCAAACAGCCCAGAAAGGATTTTCCTCAGAAGTCCGAAACCAACAAGGGCTCTACGTCAGGCGCTGCAGTGGTGCAAGCAGATCAATTAGATTTTGTAGCTGCAGTGGAACATTTGGTCCCACGCTCTGCAGCCTGGGTTGGTCGTGAGTTGACGATGCTGGAACAGCTGCGTGAAATGACACAGAAACGCACCGAACCTCAACAGACAGTCATCGAGAATGAGGTGCTGCTGGTATCATCACCCGGTTTTGGGGTGCTGGATTCTGGATGTGGTCGAACGATCATTGGAGTCGAAACACTGTCTGAATTTGAAAAGATGCTGAATCATCGCAATATGCCTCAGCCAAGTAGAAGAACAGAGTACAACAGTTTTCGTTTTGGAAATGGTGCTACAGAGATTTCAACTGAGGTAGCAATGTTGCCCTGTTTCCTAGCTGGTCGAAGAGGTGTGATTTCAGCAGCAGTGGTGCAAGGAAAAGCTCCCTTGCTCATCTCTCGTGGGGCTTTGCAAACGCTGAAGGCATGTTTGGATTTTCAGAATAACCAGATTCAGTTGTTCGATGATCGGGTCGTAGTGCCTTTGGCCACAAATTCTGCTGGACAGTATGTGATCAATTTGTTGGACAAGCCCGACAATGCCAACGCAACAGTTGAGAATGGATCTGAACCGCTTGCTGCCGTGCCTTCCCAAGAGGCCCTGCCGGTTCTGCCTGATGTTGAGCATGAAGACACTGTGAACGCTGGGTTTCATGAGCCGTCCAACGAACCTTGCCAGGTGCCTCAGGACAGTCCGTGTCCTGCCCATGAATGTCCTGAAACCCCGAAATATGTGTGGATTAGAGAGGATTGGGGAAATAGCCATGGTCCCATAGCCACTAATGGGGGTCCTCAATGGGAGAAGGTAAAACGTAGGGTAATCCGCACTGCACTTCATGGGAAGATCCTGTGGGATGAAGAAATTGATCACAGCAAACCTCGTAAGTGGTATCATCACAAGCTGCCTGCACATGTCGAGCACACCATCACTGAATTTCACCATGATGATCCATGTAAACATGACCCCAAGCCTCCCATGCTGTCTCAACGTGATTGTCGTAGACTGCAACAACAGGTTATGTCATGTGCCATGATGGATAGGACCCATGTCAAGTCGAAGCGCATGATGGTGGTCGAAGTGTTTTCACCTCCGAGATTTGCTGAGGCGTGCCAGCGTGTAGGACTCAAAGCTCGTAGCATTGATCTGATCACCGGCCAGGATCTTACGGTGCCAGCCACTTGTAGGGAATTGGAACAAGACCTTAAGGATAACCCTCCCGAGCTCTTAGTCCTTTGTCCCCCATGCACTGATGAAGGTGGTTGGTTTCACTTGAACAAGCATAAATGGCCAGTAGAAGAGTATTTGAGACGCATCACCCAGAGCAGGAATTTCATCAAGTACTGTTGCCGGTTGTTCAAAACCCAGGTAAACCTAGGAGGTCGTGCTCTGTTCGAACATCCGAAGCCTGCCAAGACTTGGAAGTATGAAGAGATGCAGAACTTGTTGAAGAAATTTCCTTCTGTTGACTGTGACATGTGTCAATATGGGTTGAAAATTCCTGACAGTGATCGTTTCATTCGCAAGAGTACTCGACTGCTCCTGAGCCATGAGGACATGAGATGTCTAGGCAAGACATGCCCTGGTTCCAGTGATCCGTGTCATGTGTGTCATGATCATGTAGCAGGTTCACATGTCTCGATTGGCCGAGTGAGCACGTTTGCGGGTCGATACACGGAATCCTTTGTGCAGGCTGTGTTGGAAACCATTCCAGCATATCGCAAGCATTGTCACCAATGTCTAGAGGTGCACGAAGATGCAGTTCCAGACCGTCTCTGGCCGGAAGTGTTGGCTGTGGCTGAGAAAGTAGGCGAACAGTCTGATGAAGAACTCAAGGCTGTTTTGCTGAAGGCTCATAAGAATCTTGGCCATCCTGCCACACATGACCTTGTGCGCATACTCCAGAATGCACAAGCCAGTGACCGTGCCATTGCATTAGCCCGCACCTTAGAATGCCCAGTTTGTATCAGCCAAAGCAAGCCAAAGGCCGCTCTGCCGGCTCAACCGCAAAGGGTTTCCGAATTCAATAGGCAGATCGGCATAGATGTGAAACATCTCACCGGCTGGCGTCCTAACCAGAAGATCAAGGCGTTGAACATTGTTGACACTGCGAGTGGCCTCCAACGAATGATTCCTTTTACCAGTCCTGAAACCAGTAAGCTCCTGTGGTCGCTTTTGCAGGAACATTGGATTAGTTGGGCAGGCCCACCAAAGGAAATCGTGTTGGACCCATCTGCCACAAATTTGGGAGAGCCACTTATTGTTCCTTTAGAACACCGTGGTATTCATGTCCGCCAGATTGCTGCCGGTGCTCACTTCCAACTAGGGAAGGTAGAATCGCATGGAGGTTGGTTTAACCGTGTGTTGGAGAAGATCCTGACGGAGTTTCCGCCTTCAACTCATGAAGACTGGTTGGAATGTGTGTGCCATGCCCATGTCAAGAACAGCATGTTGCAACATCATGGAGTCACGCCACATCAGTTTGTGTTTGGTCGTAATCCCGATGTTCCTGAAGATCTTCTCAATGAACCCCAGCGGGTGGTCAGTGCCACTGCAGCTCTTACTGACGAAGCCATCGACCGAGCGAACAAGATCAGACTCTCAGCAAGAGAAGCTGTCATTCGTTTGCAAGATGATCGGTCCCTCCGGTTGGCTCTTGCTGCACGTCCGAGGGTTGCAGAAGATTTTAAGCCTGGAGATATGGTGGCATACTGGCGTAATCAGAAGTGGGTTCAGGGTAAATTGATGTTAGGGGGTAAATGGTATGGAACTGCCATAGTGTTGGGTAAAGTAGGCCGTAACTACGTCCTTACTCACCGAAAGCAAATCCTCAGAGCTGCCCCTGAACAAGTTCGCTCTGCAACCACTGAGGAAACCACTCTGCTGAAGACAATGGATGTTGAGTTACTGGGAATCAAAGATCTCATTGAAGGAGGTGCTTTCAAGAGCCAGCAGTTTCATGACCTCACGTCGCAATCGTATCCATCGGTGGCCAATGTGAACACCGGTGAACCCACGTGCCTGGAATCAATTGAGTCAGAAAGGACTCCTGATGCTTCTGCCGTGCGAGCCAGTTTGCATGTGCCTGACAACCAAGTGCCACCGCTGGTTCAACAGCAACCAGCCGTACCAGAGTCTGCAGTAGGTGATGCCCCAACAGTGCCTGAATCTCTCGTTCCTGAACCGGAGCGTAACAGCCCGGAAATGAGTGATCAGACAAGCCACTCAAGTGATGTGTCCTCCACTTATGGTCCCATGAGAAAGGTACGAGGGAAGAACGGGCCTGATGCTTTGTGGCGTCCACCCTCCATGAAACAGGAGGATTTTGTGTCCATCATGCAGGAAGTTGCACCACAGCTCATCAGTGATCTTTTACACCAAGAACAATCTGAAGTTGCCGATTCAAGCATGTCTGCTAGCAGCCATGTAGGTAAGCGGAATCACGAACAGAGTGAATCCAGTGCAAGTGAAGAGCCCGCAACTTCCAAACAGCGTACAGCGTCTCCGAGCACAGAAGCCTTGTCCGTTGAGTGGTTGGATACATGTGACACTGCTGAAGTCCTCATTACAGAATATCTCAAACATAAAGCTGCCAAAGAGATTCCCCATAGTAATAACTCACCAGAGGTTCAGAAGAAAGTTGATCAAGGTAAACGACTCGAGTGGGAAACAATGGTCAATAAACCTGGGGTAGTCAAAGTTCACTATGGTAAGCATGCTCAAAAGATTCGTGAGGAACAGGCCCATCGTTTCATTGGCAGTCGTTTTGTGTTGACGCGGAAAGCAATTGCGGAAGGCCAGGCAGTCAAGCCTGACGATCCAACTACATACACTGTGAAAGGGCGTTGGTGTTTGCAAGGTCATTTGGACCCAGATCTACAGCAGAAGGCTGAAGAAGGCAAGCTTCAGTCTCCAACATTGAGCCAACTTAGCCGTATGGTGTTGATGCAAGTCATCGCCAGTCATGGCTGGGATCTTGAGCTTGGAGACATAAAGAGTGCCTTCCTTGAAGCGGGGTTGTTGGACAACAAATACCGTCCTTTGTATGCAAAGCAGCCACCAGGTGGCATTCCAGGTCTCCCAGAGTCTGCCGTGATTGAAGTGTTGGGAAACATCTACGGACAGAACGATGCCCCTGCAGCATGGTTTGGAACGTTCAGACAAGCAGCAATAGACGCAGGATGGATGCAGAGTAGTTTTGACAGCTGTTTGTTTACGCTTCGATCCAAGCAGGATAATTCGCTGATAGGAGTGCTGGGAGTTCATGTCGATGACACAGCTCTTGGAGGAGCTGGTCCCGAGTTCCGTTTGGCCGTAGAGAAGCTTCGTGCACGTTTTCCATACAGAAAATGGCGTGTCAACAGTGGGGAGTTTTGTGGTGCCTTTTATGATCAAGATCCCAAGACAAAAGTCATTCGCATGAGTATGAAGAACTGTGCAGAAAAGCTTCGCCCAGCCAATATCAAACGAGGTGTACCACCAGAGACACCTCTTGATGCACTGCAGCAACGCACTTTGCGTGCAATCAATGGTTCATTGAATTGGTTGGCCTCGCAATCAAGACCCGACATTTCAGCACAAACCAGCATAAGTCAACAAGCCTTTCCAAATCCCAAAATTCGACATCTCCGACATGCCAACAATGTGGTTCGAAGAGCCCGCATGCACAGTGATTTAACTATAACGTTCACTCCAATCAAGCCAGAAAAGCTGACAGTCGTGTGTCATTCCGATGCGGCCTTTGCAAATGTAGGTGACTATACCCAAGCTGGTCATATCATTGCTTTTACCGAAACTAGTCTACAGGATGGTCAGGTAGCTGCATGGTGTCCCATAACCTGGAGAAGTCACAAGCTCACGCGAGCAGTAAGTTCAACTCTGGCTGCTGAGAGCCAATCATTGGCTACGGCGTCAGGTACAGTAGAATGGATCATGTTGCTGCTGTCAGAAGTTTTGGATGGACCTTTCAAATTGCGTGACTGCCGAGAGAAGCTGAGTGTTAGAAAACCAATCCTGGTGACAGATTGCAAGTCCCTTTACGATCATCTCATGTCACCATCGGCCCCAACTGCAATTGAAGACCGTAGGACCTCCATAGACGTAGTCATAATCAGAGAAAGCATTCGTTCTCTCTCAGCGTTCATGCGTTGGGTTCCAACAGACCGTATGCTAGCAGATGCCCTTACGAAGGATCAGGGCGACCCTCTGGATATGCTGCGTTCGTGTCTAAAAAGCTCTGTGTACCAGATCTCGCCGGAAGATCATGTGTTGCGAATGCAAGCCAAAGAAAGAGAAGACCGTCTCCAAAAGAGACTCAAACCAAGTTCCCCAAATTAGATGCGTCAAAACTGGAAGTTAGCCTTTCTATGCTCGTGGTTAGCTGGTCTTTCTGTGGAAAGAATGCATAGATGGTCATTCGTTGTGGGGATCATCATGAACGAGTGTGCTTGTTAAGCTGTAACTGCCAGGCGTTTTCCATAGGATCTCAAATAGCCAGGGTCATAGCCAAGTACAGTAGTTTTTTCCCCTCATGTCGCTCTCCAAGGGATTGAATGCCGATGAATCCAAGATGCTGCGCTCCTTGCTGCAGCGTGCTCATGAGAATGGTTCCTTGAACGTCTTCTTGCCCACATTGGGTTCTGAGACGTCTGATTGGTCAGAAGTCGAATCGCTGGAAGAGGATATGTCTGCCGCCATGAATGATGCGTCCAAGCGCCGCCTTGTGAGCCCAGATCGCCTGGATGCGAAGCATGGCCAGACCAAGCAGCTTTCAAGCAAAGCTGCACCGGCTGCTGGAACAAAGTCTCCGACAGAGGAGAACTCAGTGAAGATTGACTTTGCAAAGATGAAGATTCCTTCGGATGTGCAGAGCATCGAAGATTGGGGCACCACAATCATGGCTGAGGGCAAGATGGCTCCTCGCCAGATGTCATATGCTGAGTTGGCCTCGTCACCGGAGGCAGATATCCAGCGCTACCTGCGTTGGCTGATGTCCAATGTCAATGCCAAGAACTTGCCGCAGTATCAGGATCTCTCTCACTATCTTCATGTCACGAAGTATGGTGAGGCTTCTGGGCCTACTGGATTCAACCGGGTCCGCAAGACCGGCTGATCGATCTATGGATGGAGCAAAATCTGTGAAAGATGTGATGAATGAAACAGGCTTGCTATGGGGATGGCAAGCGCACTGTGCCTTGCACTACCATATGGAAATGGTATCATGCAAATCATCACCGGAGGACATGTCTTTCAATTTTAGATTATGACCGGTGTGAAATCCACAGGTGCCTATCCACCACGTTGGTCACATCTCACAGGTTGCATGTACAGGGAACATTTGGCTGAAGGATCCAAAAGGATGAGCCCGAGCGATCCCACGGTTGGGAGTCTTGAGTTTCCGCATATATATATATTTATATTTATTATTATCATTATTATTATTATAATATAATCATATGTAATTAGTTACATAACGGATATTGGGATGTCAATTGATATGATATAACTATGTTTCAATCAATTTGCCCATGGGGGGGTGATTTGAAATAAGCGTGAACCAGATTGACTTCAGATTTGAATCAGAAGCATGAAGACATAACCAACGATATCCTTAAGTCCAATAGTTTGCAACTGGTTGCTCAGGAAACATGGGGATAGAAACTCCTTTTTGTTGTTCCAAGAATCCAAGAATGTATCTGTACCAATCGTTGGTGGTTGAGTTGTGAATATGAAGTCCCCTGTATCTGGGGTATTCTGGTGTTATCCCATGCGTACCTGGTGTAATCAACGTACTTACCAGTTGCGATCCCTGGATGATTCCCCAAGTAGCCCCCAGTTCCCCACAAAAAGGTCCGGGGGTTAACCACTCAACTACAAAAACATAGATGTTTAACCCCTAGTTTTGTTGCTAGTTGTCGATGGTTTTACCACGTTCAAGTTCACTTGGGATGGTGGAGCATTCATCGCATTAAGATGCATGAAGTGATTAGGTAACCCACAAACACTTGCTGTGTTTTCATGCCTTGGTGACCATATTGACTCTGAAGCTCCTTCCCAATGGCATGGCATCTACATTGAGTAGGGATCACATATCCCATTGTTCTTCAATTACGACCCACTATTACTGTGATTTACAGTGACTGTATTATAATATAAGTATATCATATTCTTGTTATTATCCCGTTGCTATCACATTAATTCGCCATATTCCATATCTACATCCTGCAAGTGGCAAGTGGCAGCTCGGGGCAACCAACAAAGCCTGCCTCGCCCCGCTTCGGCACTCGCCCCTCGTCCGTAATGCGTAGGTCAGCCCAGCGCAAACGGGCCTGGGTGCAGCGGGAGCGAGCAAAAAGACCTTGGACAATAATCATTTTAAATAGGTAAAACGGTAAAACATGTAAATCATCATCAATGGTTATCATCTATAAATGGGCAATTTTCCATAGCTGCTTAGCTATGTTAAAAAAAACCAGAGGGTATTTCTGGGAAATCGGGGAAATTTCAGTGATCAACCATGGGGTGAATGCACCAATTCCTTCCAGACCCACATGCAGAACTCAACAAACCTACTATATAAACATTTGCACGTATTCAACCAACACAAGACTTGCAAAAATAAGCTCGCGCATCAGAATAAGAACATGCATATTAATATTGAAGCCCACAGAAAACATCGCCATATTCTTCCGGATTTAAGCAACGGAGATAGGAAAAACACGTGAAGCAAAACGAGGAATAAGAAACACACATGGAAATGCAAACTGAATTCAACAAACTCGTGCGAGTATCTAACCCGAATCCATTTCGCGATTGCCTTCAGGAGGAACATGCAGGAAAAAATCGACAGTTACATCCAGCATCCAAGGTGCGACAAACCGCCACAGATGTTTGGTACTTTGGGTTTAAACATTTAAAAACAAACCGAGCCGCCATGTCTCCATATGTCTCCATATGTCTCCATAAGCCGCCAAGATCCGCCAAGCAACATTCACCCAATAGATGCTGCCATCGCTCTTCTTAGTACTGGTGAAATCAAGCAGTTGAATTCGATCCACAAAGGGACGCCCCGTCTCCTGCCGCGGCACCAATGGGAAAAAACCATGGGATACTGAGAAAAAGCTGTGCCCACGTGTGATTTCAAGACCAAAAATAGATACAAAAATATACCAGAACAGGGTTGACAACTAGAGTATCATCACTGGTTTGGAGTTTGTAGGGATGAAACAGGGCCACATTGCAACCACTAGGGGGCTCCAACTTGAGAAGTAGCATTGGGATGCGTTGGGTCCCTATGACCGCTGTCCCATAGCTTCACAGCTCCAGTCAGAAATCCTCCAGGTGTTATCGAACATGGTTTGCTTCCCAAGTTCGGGGATTTCCGAGCCATGTTCGAAAAAGTTTCCCTGGACAGTAAGTTACTAAGATTCCATTCGATTTACCGTATACTATCCCATTGCCATCCCATTATTATCCCACTATTATCCCACTATCATCCCACTATCATCCCATTATCATCCCATTTATTATCCTACTATTCTCCCATTATTCTACCATCATTCTCCCAAAAAAACCTCTGAAGACCTTCCCTTCGAACGTCCAGCGTGTTCAACGCGTGCCACGGTCCTTGCAATAGGCATCGGCCACCATCTGCCGCCAACCCAAGGGCAGTTCCTTCTCGTTGAACTTCCGTGGAGAACTAGGCCTGGCAGGAGGCTGAGGCTTGGCGAACTACTATGGTTGTCGAATCTACGGTTGAATGTATGGTTAACAATTGATTATCTATGGTTGACTGTGGTTAACAATTGTTAACTATGGTTTATGGATATCATGATGATAGTTAGATGGGTATTACAAAGATAGTTAGATGGGTATTATAGCCATAGTTAGCTGGGTATTATAACCATAGTTAGATGGGTATTACAACGGTAGTTAGATGGGTATTATAACGATAGTTAGTTGGGTATTATAACGATAGTTAGATGGGTATTATGATGGAGGGATAGATGGGCATTAAAATGCAATGTAGTTAATTGTTAGGGGCATGTTCAAAAGACGGATGTTCGTGACCGATTAGTTCATACCACGGACATGCCAAATCGGCTTGGTACAACCCCCCCAAAAAACGTGCATTTGACATGTGCTTCCACCTTGGATCATACATGCAAGGTGGTGCATCTTCCCCTGAGCAACCATTGATCCACAAACCGTAAAAAGAAGCATTTGGATCATTTGCTTTCACACTCATAGTTTCAGAATCGTATATAATAGATCATAATAGCGTGGCAACGCCTATGGTCTATCATAGTCTATAGTCTATCCATAGTTTCAAAAACCACACTATAGTGAGGTATCCACAGGTATATGAAACTTTAGTTTCCAACAATGATAACTATCTGGTTAGTGATTTCAACCCCTCTGAAAAATATGAAAGTCAGTTGGGATTATGACATTCCCAATATATGGAAAATATTCCAAATGTTCCAAACCAGCAACCAGAGTATCAACGGTCATTGAGGATGATCAACAACTACCAATGATAGTTGATACTTATAGGAATTGGATCCAACTATAACTCTGCTAACTATAGTAAACGGCTACAGTTTCCAGATGGAATCGACTCCCCGGTGGAACTTGTCACGCCTGGAGCTGGGCGCTGCGGGAGTCGACGACCTGCTGAAGAGGGTCCAACGGGTCCAACCGTGACGGCGCTGTTGGCTGAACGGTGAATGGCTAACATGTGGTGAATTTAATGGTTACCCTCTGGTAAACTAACATAACTATTGAAAATCACAATGTTTAATGGGAAAAGTCACTATAAATGGCCATTTTCAATAGCTATGTTAGTTTACCAGAGGGTAAATGATGGCTAACACGTGGTTAATAGATGTTAATAGTAGTACGACATAGTACGGCTTTTTTTAACATGCCCTTAATCTGGATGATAATGGTTAATATCCATCAATCATGCTTAATAGCAGTGACTCCTAGTGGTCAATTCCCTGTTCATATCCACCACCACCAGGCTCTGGTCTCTATGTGGCATGTGTAAATGAGGAAAATCCCCTCCTAGACGATGGATTATGGGCGATTCTCAATATCAGTGGAATGTGATTCTGATGGGCATCCTAACCATCTTCCACAGCTGGGGGTTCCAAGATTCGTTACATGTTGATTCTTCACTTGGGGATCTGGTTGGTTCTGGTTTCAGCCCATCCTCAAAATATGAGTCAGTTGGGGTGGAACTTCTTCTTGGGTGGGGATGAAACATGGACATCTTTGGAAATTGCATAAGCAGTGATGGTTGACCCTTTCCACCCAGGCGCCCCTGCCGTGCCCCTGCCTTTGAAGGGTGCCGCTGCTTGTGGCTCCGCCCCGCGGCGACAACGTGCGGCCCCGGCTGGGCGAGGACGCGCCGCCCCGCGAGGGGGACGAGGTACGGCTCAAGTTCCGAGGGGCCTGGAGAAGTGGCAAAAGGTGAATTATTGATGATTCTACTGTGTATATATACCACATATATATATATATAAATATATCATTATATATATGTATACATATCTCCCTCTCCCTCTCCCTCTCCCTCTCGCGCTCTCTCTCTCTCTCTCTTGCTTTCTCTCTTCATATTGTTCAAGGTGTGGTCGATGATGATGATGATGATGATGATGATTATTCTTATTAGGTGACATTATTTTCTGGAACATATCATTACAATTCATTACATATTGTTATTATATGTTATTATCACCGCTGATTTTACTGTGTTGATGATGTTGATAAAGAGAATGTGAGAGCACACAAAACTTGGACATGCTTCAAGGATGACGTTGGTGGTATATGGTAATGGCGGATGATAAATAGCAAAAATAATAAAACAACACAAAATATATCGACACATGTTCGGCCTACATCTTTTGAAATACCCACATGCCATGTTGCATGCGCCTGCACCTGCGAAGTGCTGGATCGTATCGATTGTGTCAAACTGGCGCTGGACCTCAAGGACGATGACATCGTGCTCGCCCGTGCTGCGGCTTGCCGTGCTGGCGCAGCAGGCACAGCAGGCGCAGGCGCAGGGACGCTGTCGGCGCCTTTGGGCCGGGGAGCCTTGGGCGGTGTGGTGCGACCAGAGCTGGCAGCCGCTTTCGGCGGGGTCGTTCTTCCAGAGCTGGCAGCTCTGGTGGCCCTGCTGCTGGGAGCTGCTGGGATGGTGGGCTGCCAAGGAGGGCGGTTGTAACTGGTGCTGTGCCAGGGGGGTTCGGGGGTGCTGCTGCGTGGGGGATCTGGGCGGGATTTCAACCTCGGCTCTTGGGACCAACGCATGAGATTCAGATGTAATTTAGGATGATGATCGGCCCTTGATTCAGGTATATTCAATGATTCGCCAAAAGTTGGCAGTTGGTAATGATGAAGTTAAAATTGCCTTACAGCCTCTGGCATTGAATGACCCAATCTCCATTATCACCCTTACTCCTAACCCCAACAAGTAAAAACCAATCATAGACATAGGTTTCCAGCCCCAAAACGAATGTTATGACCACCACTCGACAATGATCTGATCAAATAACTGCGAATTTCCGTGGTCATAACCACCAAAGAAGCAACGAACAGTTCGCTGAACCCACTAGATTTGATGATGAACTCTCTGATTTTTGAGAAAATCACATGTTTTGATATTTAAGCTCACCATGAGCCACCCTTCATCCTTAAATTTTACGTAATCAGCACCCAATTCTGTTGGATAATGATTTCCTTTGATTTCACATTTGCTAAGAAAATCCTCCTGTTTTCTCTTTGGAAAGTTCTCCCCAGTCCGAGGCGCTTGGAGGACCGGGCGCTCTGCGGCATCTTCCGAGCGGTGAAGGATGGCACCGTGGAGAGGTTGGTGTCGCGGCTGCCGTCGCGCAGCAGGGTCTGGATCTGGGTCATGCGGTTGCGTTCCTCCAAGGATCGTACCGTGGCTTCCTCCTCAACGGATCTGAGGACGATGGGATGATGGGATGATGGGATGATGGATTACTAGCATGGAGGATTTCTTGAGAAACTTGGGGCAGTTGTGGCATCCCTTGGCAGAAGGTGATGCATCCTCTGGTTATCTTTGTTGCTGTGCAAACCCTGTCAACTATAGATATAGATAGATATAGATATATCTACATCGTCATGAAAACCCTAATAAAGTAGATATACTAACTCAGTAATATACTATAGATATATCCACATTATTTCTAAATATGGGTCTTGCCACTTATTAACCAACTATAACCAACTTAGCTATGCACCAATTCTCATCAAGTGCAGGCTCCTGAAGCCGTTTGTTCTCTGCCTCCAGGGTCAAAATGCGATGTTTCATATCCTGCAGCGGAAAGGTCAGGTTCAGCTGAAGGAAAAGGATGGAACATAAAAGAATGTACCCTGGGGTAAACGTACATAGATGTGGTGGAAAATCCATGATTTTGAACTCCACTTCTATCTTCGTTGGTAAATTCTGAAAGCAATAAAAACTGGTTCCATCCCCCGCTGTCTCCAACTCATCCGAGTCGGTTTACTCGTTGCAGCTCTTTCGTCTCCACAGATCTGTTCCCTGAGTCTGAGCTGTGTCCAACATTGGATGGTTGAATTTGTCTCACTTGATCTCACTTCTTTGTTGAATGTCCCCTGCTGTCATTTTGTTCATTTCGATTTGGGTCATAGAAATGCACATCTCAATTTCAGATGAATAATCAGCTTCAAAGTTGGTTGACATAGAAACCCAGGAACCTGCTTGTGTCGCCCATCTCCTCAAAGTGGTGCCAACATTCTTCAGAATTTTGGTTTACTTTTCACACATCCACCGAGAAATGATATGTATAAATAATTTCAATAAATTTTGCTTAGCCGCCTTAGCTTACTTAATGCCCCCCTAAGATTCATGGGGGCCCCTCCGCCAATTTACGAACCACGTCCGCATTGAAATGGTCAATCATCATGGTCCCGTTTAACTGCCATGAATTGAAATCATTGCTATACAAATGATGTCATTATTGTTCATCATTGTTATAAAGTTCATAGACATTCATAACAAGCTCCCATAAAACTTCATAAAACTTCATAACTGATGTCTAAATCACTGTTAAATGACTTGGTTTTCCGTTTTTCCTAATGACAACTTAGATCCACCAAAAACCTCATCTCTCCTCGTGGGACTGCGCCAGTCGCGCCAAGGTCTCTGCGTAGAGCGTGGCTCCCGTGGCTCCCGTGGCTCCAGTGGCTCCCGCTGCGGTGGTCAACGGGGCTTCCTGTGGCTGCGATTGCGGTGAGGTCTCAGGCGTCCAATCCTTGGTGAAGGATCTGAATGACGTGGCTTTTTGAAAGGTGATCCCTGGATGAATTGGTTGGTTTCCCTCTGGACTAACATAGCGAACTGGAAAATCACCATCTTTAATAATAGGTAAATCACCTATAAATGGGTCATTTTCAATAGCTATTTTGACATAACCAGAGGGTAACCAACAAAAATGGTGATATAATGGGACTTAACAAGGGTGAGGTCCCCTTCTAAGTTGGTTTAGTTTCACCCCATGAATGCTATATTCTTTCCGACCTTTAGGCATACGTACCAGTCGTGACTATAGCAAAACGAGCGTGGACTAATCGTTATCAAGTTCATCCAGCTACCACCAGCTACCGGGACAAACTATATATATATATAAAATTATATATATACACACCGAGACCCAAACGGGTCTGAACATGGGGCATTAAGATTATCAAAAAGAAATACTTAGCAATGAACATCGCATGAAAGTAGTGATCATCACATGATCGATGGAATCGAAACCGCTACAGAAAATTGGGGACGACCAAACCGATCTGCGACCCTCAGTCTCGATGTGTTGACAGCCGAGAATTGATCTTGGACAAACCTACTTCTCCATCAGTGTGTCTTATTGTTGATTGATTTAGACCATTTGATTTTGGATATTGAGTTGCAGTCTGTTACAGACTCTCTTGATTCTATTCAACCCGGTGCAATTGCTAAAGACCCTATTTCCTATTCAAGATACTCAGGATGGGAAACTTATTTCGCAGACATGAGAACCCGAGTGCATTGATCCTGTCCATCTATCCACATCATTAAAGCTGACCTCGTGGATTTGTTTTTTCTTGATGAATGCAGGTAGGATTTCCATGGATTTCCACTTCCACAGTAAAATTGCTTCATGTGTTTTTAATTCTCCATTTTGTATAGATTTGTATCCATTTGTGCTGATTGTCCCATCAGTACGGGGCCCCATCATCCCCATCCGAATCAATTTTCAGTTGTTCCTATCATTGCCTTCCAAAAAACCGCGCAAACCAGAAGTATTCGTTAGTTGAGGAGGTTCCCTGGACCAGAACAACATCCGCAAGCCAGTTGACTCACTAAACCGCTACAGGAACCTCGTAGATTACGCATTTCGATGGCTCGAGTATATATATATATAACTGCACCAAGCGCCATATGTTATTCACAAAATCCTTCCAATCTAGACCAAAACAACAACCCCTCCCATGTTTTCAGGGCAAAATTCCGTGAAATCGACCCAAATCTCAGTGCCACACCAGCAGTAATACATAAATGGCCCAATGGTTGGCAATTGGGGAACTATATCCCCTATTTATCCACTAGTGGTCCATGGTTATATCCATTCAACACACAGTTTACATTCAAGTATCTCTTCATATCCCTCTATTAAGTGACAGCTCCGACCCGGGTCGGCTATTTTTATGCTTAAATCAAGTTAATGGAAAAAAATCAGCCCTACCATCGAAGTCTTCGAAATCTCCCAGTTCATCAGGTCTTCACAGGTCTTCACCAAATCTGCCCAGCAGCCCTGTGACTTTTCCCCGGCTCCGGCAGCTGCGGCAGCTGCGCCGTACCCGCCACAGGCATCCGCACCGCGTGGCCCGCACCAAGTGTCGGCGGATCTGGGGTAGGCGGCAGCAGCTGGGGACTCTCCGGCGGCTCGTAGCGGATCTTGTGACCTGGGTGGTGGTGATGTGATCTAGTGGTGTGTATATATATATATACATACATAATTATATATAGAGAATAATATATATGGTCACCGACAGAATTATGGAAAAAAATAAAACGTTCAACTTAGACAGGCGGCACCTGCGTCCGATTTTTCCATAATTGGATTTTTCCCCATAAGGGTTCAAAATATCCCGGAAGTGATCCGAACCTTTTTTTTCCATAATTCTTGGAGGTGGCCATTATTTCCATAATTGATTTTTCCTGTAAAATCAGGGGGCTAGGGCAGATTGACCGGTTTTTTCCATAATTATTTTTTCCATAATTATTTTTTTCCATAATTAATGTTTGGGGCTCCACCTGTTGGACATGTCATGGATCCACAATTCAAACCGACCCCTTTTTTTGGGGGGTTATGGAAATATGTATGCAAATGCAAGTATGTAGTATCAACCCAATTGGTGGCTTGGCAAAAGGATACATCCCGCATATGTATGTACGTACAACAATGAGTTTTGGTGGTGCAATTGTATATCAATGGAAGACTTAGGGGCATATACCAGATCTTTAGACACATATTTCTATAATTCAATATTCCCCCTTAAAATGCATTCAAATTGCGAACATCACATAATATTATGTATATCAATGGAAGACTTAGGGGCATATACCAGATCTTTAAACACATATTTTCTATAATTCAATATTCCCCCTTAAAATGCATTCAAATTGCGAATCGATGGACATACAGTCACCGACAGAATTATGGAAAAAAATAATTATGGAAAAAATAATTATGGAAAAAAAAAAGGTTCGTAACTTTTCTATCATAGACAGGCGGCGCCTGTAAATTGAAACGTTTTTTTCCCATAATTCTGTCGGTGACTGTATATATATATATATATATATATAGAGATTTGATAAATGTTCTATCTAGTCAAGGATGTTTACCTGGATGTCAATCAACATAAATGAACAACCATATGGATAAACAAAAATATTTTCGATTCAAAGCGGACTTGTTGGAAGGGTGACAGTAAACCATCAAGCAGGGAAGGCTAGGCCAGTGTCAGGACAGGTACCTCCACTGGGCCCAAAAGATGCCGTGTATGGGTATTGGGTCAGTAATATACACGACCATTGATTATATGTATATATATATATATAGTACAATCATTGATTATTGTAACCAACCACTATAAGGACTCCAAAAATTATTTGACACAACACAATCCATCCTGTTCACTTCTGGGATGTTCACATGTGGCCCGGGGATTTCTCCCGTTCCAATATGGATTGTTGAGCTTCTCCTCTCACCGTATCTGCCAGGGAATTTACAAACCCTTTTCTTGAGGTAAAGGACCCAGCCAAGTATATAGAAGTGCTACAGAACGAATTAGTGTTTCCTCCTTGTCTTTTCAATCTTCATAAACCTAACCCACCCATAGTTAGCTTGTTTTCCTTCCTGGCAACTCTGGCACCCCTTCACCATCCTGCTGTTTAGCAAGCTTTTATTCGAAATCATCCAATTTGCTGTTGATAGATTGACCGTCCGCGTGTTTGACTCACTAAACCACACATGGACAGATGGGTTTTGACTCAAAATATGGTAACTCCCCAAAAGTTCATCATTCTCCCCACTAAGGCCCAGCCATTTTGGGCAACCGCCATGCCATGGCCATGGCACTGCCGGCTCCAGTCGTCACGGGCTCGCTGCTGACTGCCGGATCGACGGAGTCGCCGCTGGTGGTGGCCTCCACGTGTTTCAGTTCTTCGGTCTTCACCTGCAAAAGTGGCACCCGGTAGGGGAGAATTTCTGACCGCTTCGCGAACAGGAAAATCGCCCCTTAAAAAATGTTTTAAAATAGGAATAAAATGGGCATATAATGGGATGTATCAAACTCGTACCAGAGGGTAATGGAGATTTTCGAGGATGAAAGGTAGATTTCATGTAAATATTTCAGTAGAGTTCATGGTAGATGTATGTGGATGTAGTAAGTAGATCTGTAGTTTATGGCGCTAAAAAATTAGCTTAGGGGACACCACCTTGTAGGGATGCCACTGGCAACCCGGAAACGCATGTGCAAACAAGTGGTTTAAGGCACAAAACGCATGAACTAACCAACATGGGAATGAAGGAACCTAGAAACATATAGGAACATCATGGCATGGGGGACGAATAACAAAAATCAGCAATCACGGGGAGGGTTAAGCAACATGGAGATCTCCGTATTGAACCAATACTGGCGGGATCACCAGCGGTGAAGCCTGGGCAGATGCTTTGCCCGTATATGTAGTCATTGCACGCATAAAATAACTTTGAATGGGCAACAATTGGCATACTTACGCTTTTGTATTACATATACGTATGCACAAATAATCATAGGATCATATGTACGCACACACACACACATATATATATGTGTAAAAAATAGCAGAGTATGCATACACATATGCATAAAACGCAGGTCTAAACGTAATCTGAATCCCCAGGAGGCCTGAATCTGCTCGGAGAGAAGATGCATGCCTGACACATTGGCACCGGGATTACAATGATCCCGTAGAGCAAATGGCTCTCTCCATGCTGGGCAACGATCCGTTCAAGGTAGGTGCGATGGCCCCATACCGATTTTTATGCAATGTATCACTAAATTATGGGTCAGCATGGTACTGTTTTTGAGAAATCGATTCAAGTATCCATATCGATTGGGAAAAAACAACCACAAGTCACATCAAGGAACGCAACAGGGTTGAAACCGACAGGCAGGGCAGAAAATTGGCCCACATGATGAGCCGACGTCAGTTTCTGCTCCTGACAATTGCGCTGTCAAAAACCAGCGCCAAGTACTGGTCAACAGCAAACAGAACTCAGTTTTTGATGTTTCTCTCTTGATTCCTGACCAGCACCTGATGGTTCTGGGGATTCATGAACACCAGAAGGTTCCGAACTTAGGCCGCACCTTTGGTGATCAGAGACAACTTGTCTTGAAGGTTCTTTGGGCCTCGACAGTCAGATCCCTCTGGGCATGTGGGAAGCCGGTGCTAACCTGCAGTTGATGGGTATGCTGACTGCAACCCCCAAATTGGAAATGGATATAAATAGATATAACTTGTGAAGCGGCACTGTTTTCTTGCAACTTGCCATTTCGTCTTTCATACATCCCATGATCAAATAAATATTTTCTTGAATTCACTTGTACTGCAATTGTTAAAAGTCTCCGTTCGTACATGTTTGTACTTAAATCTTAAAGTTTGCCCCGGGCAAAAACAGACATAACCTTCAATCATGTCACCGAATGAAAACTCTTTGAGCTGTCCAAACCGGTGTTCTATTTTTGTGAGCTGCGAGATGTGAGGTGTGCTGTGTGCTGCTCATTTTTCGGGACGGCATGAAGAAAACATCTCCAAAGTGCAAGTCCTTTCGAGCCCAGACTGCCACGTTTCCGCCAGGATGCTACTCTTGGGAACTGCATCAATGCCACCCAGGGTTGACAGCACCTGGAGTGACATGGGGACGCCGATACATCGATGCCTGAGGGAGGATTCATGGTTTACAAGCCCTATGGTTTCCCGAAATAACCTCTGTATATATCTATATATCTATATATCTATATATGTATATACATACATACATACATACATCCATGCATACATACATACATACATACATACATACATACATACATACATATGCATTTATAATGATATTAATAAAGCAATGTCATCATATTTTGATGGTTTATACCACCCATTTATGATGTTTTGGGGATGGTTTACTATTGCTTTAGGCACATTACGTAGAGAACTGTGGCATAACTTTGCTGATTACTATATATAATCCCATTCTGGTATTGTACATGTATATATAATTGCACTATATTATGGTATAGTAACTATTCTATATAACTTACTATTAAGAATCATAAATACATATTATACGAGATCTTACTATTATTCCATTCTGCATTACTATGGTATAGTAAAACTATATGTATATTAATCATTACTATTATTGCTAATATACATATTATTATAGAGAAACAAGGGGGAAAACAACCAAACACCGTTATTAAACTCCCTTGTCTCAAGAATCATGCAAAGCACCTTTTTACTACGGTACTTGAGCCATGTATTTACGGTAGGCTACTATGGTGACCCGACTGGATACAAGGGTTACCAATTCCTACTCTATACAAGGCTACAACCCCAATAACTAACGCTTCTAGTTATGGGGATATGGACAGTGATTATGAACTGTACACTACATTGGAAGGTTGGTCTAATAGCTACAGCATGGTGTGAACTAATACTAGTATATACAGTGGTGGTATAGGGGTCGTAATATTTCTACTCCCCCTACCCGGTCTAACGCTGGCAACTAGTATACAGGTTAGGGCGCTAGGTAGCAGCCCCTCCCCTGGGTTTAAGTTCACTACCTAAATCTACACGGATGCCAAGCAAGCGCAGTGCCGGGGCCCACTTTTGGGGTGGCAACGCCTTGGTGAAGATGTCCGCAGCCTGGCTGTCGGTCTGACAGTACTCAAGCTCGGCTGAGTCCTCTCGGAAGACTTCGGATAGCCCGGACAAGTTAACCTTATGGGTGCGAGTGATGTGCCTAAGCTTAGGGGAGTAACCTTTACGTACTACCAGGATGGTAGCTTGGTTATCTTCTAAAACTCTAAGCGTCACGGAGCGCCCTAGGAGAAGCTCCCAGAGTTGCAGGGCCGGCAGACCTTCTTGGTAAAGGGAAGAAGCCAAGGAAACCACCTCAGATTCTGTTGTAGAACGGGATGTGGATGTTTGGCGTTTGCTAACCCACGCAAGAGGGAAGAAGGAGTTAGGCCCATATAGAACTAAATACCCACCGGACGTGGAATTTCCACTAAGACGATCACCGGCGAAATCGGCGTCAACGTATAAACGTAACTCAAGATCTTCGGGATTATCTTTGATGGTACCCACTAGACGGTATTGGGGTGTAGAGTCTATGTATTGGATGAGTCTTAACAACCTCTTATCGTCCCCCCTGGACCAAGACTGCACTTTAGTGGCTAAATCGTTGATGGGTTTTATTATGTCAGGTCTGGAGAGCCGACCAAGCCACAACGCCTTCATAAGAATGCGGCATGCATTTGGTGCCAATTCACCTTTAGCCTCTTCATCTTCAACAGAGACAGAACCATCAGGTACAAAAGGGGTGGCAGCATGCTTCAAACTTTTGGTGTTGGTGATGGACTTGTAAAGATCAACTGTTTGGTGTGCATAATCTAGCATGTCAAAGACTAGGGCTTCTTGTGCGCGAAACGCAGCACATTCCTCGGAACCCTCGGTTTTGGGCAATGGCATTACTAGATGATTGCGACCTAAAATTCGGTATATTGGTTCAGGTGGTTCTATATCCACAACGGATGTCAGCTTCGCCCAAAAGGCTTCATGTTGGTCAGTGGGACCAGCAAGCGTGAGATCATCTACATAGGTGGAAAGCAACAACTTAGTATCTGGGAAAAAGAAGTTACCGGGATATTCAGGTATCTCTTGGCCACCTAGGTTGCGGATAATTTTCTTTAGGTGCTGCTCCCAAAGGCCACCGGCATCAGGATGACCATATAAGGCTTTAACTAGGAGGACTACGGGTTTAACAAACTTATCTCGCCAATGTTTTGGTCTTAGCTCAGGCGGGAGTTCTATCCAAGTCTTGTATTTTGAAGACAGGAGTGCTTGAACGTAAGCCTTTACAGCATCAGCTGCGGATGAGCTATTACCTGGCAGGGAACCGTATGCCAAACAAGCATTCAAACCTTGGACCGAAGTCGGGTTTGCCCCTAGCTCCTGGTAAACCGCTGCAGCACCATGTTCATCCTTTGCGCAGTCGCCTCGGTAGATGATCCTACCCTTCATCTTTTGTAGATGCTGCGCAAGCTCGAAGAATTTAATGGATGCTATCGTCATGAGTTGTCCGAAATGAACGGACACTCCTGTGCGCTTGGCCTCGGCGCGTACATCTTCCTTTTCCCGAACGGAATCAAGTGACCACGTTCCCGCCTTGATGAGTCCATCGGCCTCGGCCTTAACAGCATCAAGGGCTTGGGGGTTGGATAACATCTCGGCCCTAGAAAGCAACTTAGTTACCATAGCTTGAACCTCTTTGGAGGGTTCACTGTTATCTTCATGCCCGAAGGCTTGCGACAACAAACGCTCATGGTCTAGAAGCTCCGACACTAAGCAGTTTACTGTTGGATCTGTTTCAATGGCAACTGCAAGATCCTCAAAACCAGCTAGTGGGGACACATGTTTAAGATGTTGTTCAACTTCGCGGTGCTCTTGGGGTTCGGTTGAAAGTGGAGCGCATGGCATTGCGGGAGCATGTTGTTGGGAACACTTAGCAGGGTACAGCGCTTGAGTAATCAAAAATGCCATCTCTGGGGGATACATAGCTGATCGCGCTGTTTCCGAACCTTCACACTTTTCATGTGGTTGTTCACAACTGCACTTTTTATCCTTAAAAACATCTACTATTCTTTGGGAAGTGGTTCGGACTCTCCAAGGCTTTTTGATGGGAACACCTTTCTTGGACTTAAGACCTACTGCACAACCATCGAAATCAACTTCCATAAACTCAGGGTGAGAATTAAAGAACGCTACGACATCTGGTCTCTTCCAGCCAGTTGACGGACGTGGCCATTCAAAAGAAACAGTGCCTCCTAGTTTCAAAACTAATTCCGCCCTTTTGGAAAAGCTTTTGAAAAGTCGTTTCGACTCTCGGAGTTGGAGCGCTAATCTTTTCATGTAAGCAGCTCCTCCCCTCCGTCTATTGATATACTGCCAAGGCGAACCAGACGTGCATGGTATGGACGACCAAAGGTTAGGTGGTGCAACTTTTGCGGCTTCACCTATTTGATAATCAAGTTGGGAACATTGATTCTCATCACTTAAGTCTATCCTTTCCTTGCATAATCCAATGTGATTTATGTTACATTGTTCACTTGTCAACCCAAGCTGTGAGTTGAGGGAACATGCAAATTCAAACAGTGTTGATCTTTCATTGGATCTCTGGCTTTTCTTCAAGGCACGTCTTTTACGACGATTATTGTTATTCTTAGGAGGCTGATTAGCTGCGGGGCATGCAGGCACGGGCTGTGCACCGAACACTGGCAAGGAATCCCTACATAACTCAGCGCAGCTGGGAGCAGTCTGGGGCAAAGTGGCAGCACCAGAGACGCTATGAGGAACAGCAATTGTGATTTCACCTTCATCATCAAATACGCTGTCCACCGGTGGTGGTTCCACGGGGGCATCCTCAAGCGCACTAGGAACCTCGCTAGGAGGTTCAACAACTACCGACTCTGATATGGGCTTTGACTTGGCTTCCAACTCCTTTTCTTCATCAACTAGTTTCTGGAACCGTTTGCGGCACTCTGCATTATGGTACCGAGTCTTATTCTTACACCCTGTACAACCGGGAATCTCCTTAAACTTTATGATGCGGTCTAAGGTGATATAAACCGATCTAGGTTTGGGACCGGGTGTAGATGGGGAAGCTAAACCGCCGTCTGGTGGAAACGGAACATTTTGCAGGGCTATCTCAGGAAGTTTAACGTCATCGGGATCATCCCCCCTGATTAAGGCCCGATGCTTCGAAAAACCAACGGGAAAATAGGCATCACCATCTGGAAGGTATAGTTCAGGCTCGGGTACATCGGAAACACATGAAGCACCTCTAGTTCGAAACTCTTGATAATCTAATATCCGAACAACATATCTGTAACGAAAACCAGAATCGATTCGCCAACCGAGAAACAAACCAGGAGCCATGTTGGGTTCTAAGGTCCTTTTTGTTGGATGCTTCTTGCGATAATACACAAGTTGACCAAAACACAAACGCTTACCATCAAACTTTTCACGTGTAAGAGCTTCCCATTGGGTCTTTTCAGGGTCCGCAATAGAAGGTCTATCAAAAGTCATGGAGAGACATGCGTATGGGTAACTATAAGTGTGATACTCATAAGGCAAACCAGATTGTAAATGAACAACCCTGCAACACTCTTTCTCTTCCCGGATGTCGCGCTCTAGGAGAGCGTTGTGCGGCCAACGGTTAGGAAGGGACGTCTCAGGAACGAAGCCGACTTGATGGGCAGCCTGCTCCAATTCCTGTGCTTCGTCCATTTTGATAAGAGTATGGGTTGCAAGTTCATTGGCTTTCAATCCCACGAAATGTCGAAAATTCTTGGCATGTGATTCAACATCTCTCTTTGAAAGGGGATATGCTATTCGTGCACCAGAGTAAAGGTCCCTTACCACATGGTGTGTTTTAACCCCACCTATCCCCGTACCAAAGTGCTCAGACCCTTTTGCAAGGATAACATCATCAGTGGCCAATTGCTCAAAAGGTTGTTTTGGTGGATCAATCTTATCATCGGACTTACCATCCTTAACATGAGAGACCCGCATTGCAGTATCCTTAGCAATATGGCATAATGGGCAATATGGATTTTTGGGGTAGTGAGTCAAAAGATGCTCTAAGCTAGTGGCTTCCTTTTTCAAGACTTCATCTTTGATAGGGATACCATCACCTAACTCAACAAGCAACTTATCATCTAAAGGGTGCGGTGGCGCGCTAGGAGCAGCACCTTCCGGTACACTTGCATGTGAGCTGCTGGATGCAGCTGCATCTCTTGGATCATCGGCCTCAGCAACTTCGTCAAGTCGTGCGACATCTTGGCCTGCAAAACTAGGTGAATAACCAGAATCCTCATCCGGTAAGGGATCAGCTGGGAGAGCTGTGGAAACTGGGGTTAACCTTTCTGCTGGAACAAAGTTACGCGGACTAAGTTGTTCATCGTATTGTGGAACGTATTCGACAACACGTGAGGCGCAAATCCTAGCATTGCGGGGAACCTTAAGTTTGCATCTATTGATGTTCTCAGGTGCAATTAGATATGGAACATTTTCTCGGGGATCCCAAACGAACATATAACCTTTATCCATAACAGTCTTGCCGATACTCTGAGCTGGTGGACAATCTTTCAAGACATAAACCTCTTCCCCTTCTAAGATTTTGCTGCCATCAAAAGCGATTGACTCTTGACCAGCCTGGCTACCCCCCCCTGTTGCGAAAGCTACTGGGTTTGGAGATTGCTGCAAAAACTCTTTCATTTTTGGGGTTAAGGCTTGTTTGCCAATTAGGTGCCTACCGGCTGCAGTGTCCCAAAGCCACGGGATTGCTCCGTTAAGCTTGGAAGGCATAGCGTCAACAATGGGCACAGCCGCTGTGCCAGCAGCTATAGTGGCCATACTGCCAGGAACGCTAGTTGTAGACTTAGGCTTGGATAATGCTCGGGGTGGGGGCCCCTTATACTTTTCGGTGGCAGAATGCAAGAAGGCGCACTGCTTCGCCTTGCAGGCGTTGTAAGCATAGAACATACATGGTGTTCTTGCCTTTTGGGCCGGGGTCATATTGGCGACCCTGTTGGCCTCCGCACTCCTTGGAGTGGTTGCGCCTGCCTTTGGTGGTGGTGAAGTAGTGGTTGTGCCCTTAGCTTTGGCCTTTGGTTTGGCCTTAGCTTTAGCATGAGGCGCTGGAGCAGCCTCTACCTTCTTACCTTTGTCTGCCTTAGATTTTGGATTAGCATTTTTGGGAGCGGGGGCTCCAGGCACACCAGCCTTAGGATTACCTTTTGGGGCAGCCTTAGGATCAGAGGTGGCAGGGGCTCCTGCAACTTTTGGGTTATTGGTACCAAGATATCCCTCCGCAGGCTTGAGCTTAAGTTGTTTATCAAACTCAATACGATTCTTGCGTTGCTGGTCAAGTTGGAGAACTAACTCTACTTTTTCCCACAACCAATTGGTCGATCTGCGGTGGCTGGTAAGTGGGGCTTCACGGGCTTTCAACACTTTGGCAGCCATTATAGGGGTCCGCTCGAGCTCGTCAATTAAATGGTTAAAAAGAGTTTGCTCTCGCGGTAAATCTTGGATTGGTATTGTTGACATCACATAAATATATTTGTCTCTGAAGGCCTCTAGATCTTGGTGAGTATTCCCTGGGATGCGAAGCGATAACAAGTTGCGTTCTCCCAACATGCCAATTCTATCGCGTTCCAGTTGAAAATAGTGAAAGATCTTTTGGAGCATTACGCGTCCACACGGCATAGAGCCGGAAGAGAGGCGCTCAGATTCAACCATTTGCTGAAAAATTAAGCCAAATCGACCCCGTCGGCAAGTTTTGATAAGCTTTGAGGCGATTTCTCGATCCGTGCGTGGGAAGCGTGGATCGGTTTTTAGCTGATTTTCAGTGGATGTCATACATTCTTGGGCCCATTGGTAAACTTCATTACCTGGGGTTTTCTGTAGCTTACCGATGGCCATGAGGACCTGATTGACATATCCCCTAGCTTGACCGGCATTTTCAGGAGGGTTTGGAAAGACCAAATCATTGAGTGATTTTACTCTAATGGTATTATCCTCCTCATCTGCATAGTCCCTAACTTCAGCATCACCGGGACGGGGTTGATCAGACCCTTGGTCCGGAAAATCTCCCCCCATGTTCATAGTCAAGTATGGGCAGTTAATTTCATCATGAAATTCTCCACAAATCCTACATTGAGTATATGGATTTGGTGGGGGTGGCCCAGCATCAGAATCTGATGAGGACTCGGAACTACCCGACTGCTTAGAACGTTGGGACCCAGAGTTATAAACATATGGAGACCCTTGGGGTAAAAGACTTGCTTTACTTAGAGGCAACGGCGGCAAGCCCGGTGGCAACACCTGTTGCGGCAAAGGCGCGACGGGGGTCTGACGTCTTGACCCACTTGGTGCGCTCAAAGCAGCACCTCCCATGGCCAAAGCTTGAGGGGTGCTAGGTGGTGGAGCTATAGGCATTGGTGCTTTCGCCGCTTGCAGTTGTGCTACAAGTTGTGTCTGTGTGTGCAACGCTTGCATAAGTTGTGAAACTTGGTCCTGTAACGCACTAATGCGATCTTCATTTGTACAATGCTCACTTGCCGCAGTACCAACATTAAGTTGCACAGCACTAGGTGCCGGAACAGGGCTAGGTTGTACTAGACCCG